AGACCCTTCATCAGGGTCTAGGCCCGAAACGTCAGCCTTTCTGCTCCTATGATGCTGCTTGGCCTGCTGTGTTCATCCAGCCCTGCACCTTGTTGTCTCGGATTCTCCAGCATCTGCAGTTCCTACTATCTCTGTTATTATGTCTTCTCTTGGTTGTGGCCTCCTAAACATGTTCACTGTGTTGAGATGAATAAATGCAGAGTTCACTGGAGGAATCCAATAATATGACATTTCCTATAACCAAATTACAAACCAGTCTTATCTCTGATATTTATGACTAGATGTTCCTTATAATTTTTGAATATCATTTCATAATTAAAAAAGAAACAAGTCAATGAATGTCTGAAACAGATTAGACTTGTTGCTTGAAAATTTATAACATCTTTTCTGGGTGATTATTCACTAAAAATTTGTGATTTTTTGTTAGCATTTTTTGCTAAACTGTTATTTAATTAAGTTTTAATTGCAAATGCTCTGTGTTTTAGCAAAGTGATTATGAAGGAGCTGAAACAAAAGGATAGGCTGGAGGAAGAAATCCAAATGACAATGAAGAAGGTTCCTGAGTTTTATCGTGTTCTTGTAACAGAACGGGATGCCTATTTAACACAGTCCCTGAAGCAAGCAGCAAAGCCTATAGTACTACCTAAAATTTTACGATGTAAGCATGTGCAATATTTTGGTTGTTTACAGTAAGGCTTTTACTCTATGAATTTGAATATGCAGCTATTAAATAACTAGCAAAACATTGATAACATTTGAACCTTCTTTGGCACAAGTAACCTCCCTTATAATTTCAATGGCATTGATTTGAACAGCCCTGACCATTCAATTAGGTTTAATTTACCACTGGACCAGAAACTTGTCTGAGCAACACTTGCCTATAATGTTATTCATTGTACTCTGTACATCTCTCAACACATTAAAGAACCTCTAAAGTCATAAAATAATGTCTAAAACTATTTATCTTGTTGTGCAGTATGGGAATTACAGGAAACTGAAAATCAGTTGATTCAGAAAGACCTCCATTTGGACAAGGTTCAACCATGTGCAGGAAATCAGTGTTACTTTTTAGTAAACAATATGGCAACATGTCATTTGTTGGGTGAACGGTGTCTCACAGTGGACCCAGCTTGCATAGAAAATTTGGCAAATAGGGCAAAAGACACTACTATACGAAGGATTTCACAAGCTTCAAAATCTCCCCTCCCCCTACCGCATCCCAAAACCAGCCCAGCTCGTCCCCGCCTCCCTAACCTGTTCTTTTTCCCACCTATCCCCTCCTCCCACCTCAAGCCGCACCCCCATCTCCTACCTACTAACCTCATCCCGCCCCCTTGACCTGTCCGTCCTCCCTGGACTGACCTATCCCCTCCCTAACTCCCCACCTACACTCACCTTTACTGGCTCTATCCCCATCTCTTCGACCTGTCTGTTTCCTCTCCACCTATCTTCTCCTCTATCCATCTTCTATCCGCCTCCCCCTCTCTCCCTATTTATTTCAGAACTCCCTTCCCCTCCCCCATTTCTGATGAAGGGTCTAGGCCCGAAACGTCAGCCTTCCTGCTCCTATGATGCTGCTTGGCCTGCTGTGTTCATCCAGCTCTACACCTTGTTGTCCCACTATACTAAGGACATTGATTTTTAGTAACCTTCCCTCAAAGGATATATACGAAAGTAGGGGCCTTATACGTTCATCAAATTATATTTTTTTGTCCTTTCTATTGTGTTCAAAATAACTCCTAATTCCTATTTAACAGTCATGCCCTTTATTTAGTGTGAATATTTAATTGGACATTCATTCCTTATGCTGTTATTTCTCTGTATGACTAAAAATTGTGAGAAAATGTCTAATATAAGCATAGTCTTTTCTTGATGAGGTGGGGAAAGCTAAATATGAAAAGAAACAACACACTACCTTCCTTAACCAGATAAACTGAAAGAAAATCATGTATATCCTTGTGAAAAATACATTGAAATGGCAAGCCATATTTGGAGGAGAACATTCCGTATAGTTTAAAAGACCCATGAATGAATTTCTATGATCAAAAACACTCGATCATAATAGCTAATATTCATTTTTTTCTGAAGTCTGTTATAATTTAATGTATGAGTACAGATGGCAGATACACTCACATTCTACCTCTTTTACAGTTCATTGCTGCCCTTAGAAGGCTTCGCACTATAGTACTCCTCCAGTCAATACATCTTTTAGCTTGAATATCAAAACTATCCATACTACTGGGACAACCTATTGGTCTGTTATTAAACTAGATTCAGCTCTGCAAGTGATGGCTGGTTTAATTTCTCACAGCAGGGAACTCCTGCAACTTTTCACTGATAACTAATTGACATTGCACATTCTCCCCAAGCCTGAGTTCCCTCCCACAGTCCAAAGATGTGGAGGCTAGGTGGATTGGCTATGCTAAATTGCCCATAGTGGAAATGTAAAGTTTCAGGGATAGGGTAGGGGGTGGGTCTGGGTGGGATGCTCTATGGAGGGTCGGTGTTAACTCGATGGGCTGAATGGCCTGCTTCCACAATGTAGTGATTTTATGATTCTATGATTGTGGTATTGAAACACTTGTCATATTCAGTGTATAGGTTTGAGAACATCATTTGTCCATTCTTTGAAGTAAATTGACCAGACTCTTTTTTTTTAAGTATAACTTTTTACTTATTGAAGAACTTAACTTATTGTTCCCGTTAACAGCTGATACTCAGACATTTATACCATCAGTTGTGGTAGGAGTGGTTGGAATTGGCCATGTGGCTGGAATTAAGAAGAACTGGAACAAAAAATTTGATACTCAGGAATTGGTTCGGTAACGTATTTTGCATTTCTATTCTCATTTAAGTTTTAGTTTTCTCATTTGTTATTCTGTGTTTCATTTTTATTTCATTTGTCAGTTACCTTCCTCTTTCCTTCATATCCGTGCACCATGAAGTTGAGTGGGAAACCTACTCCTAGGCTTGTGTTCTGCTTCCAGTTGCTAATTGCATCAATGTTTTTCAGGTTGACTTCCTCTGGTTTTACTCACAATTATACAGACTCAGTTATGACATTTCTAACTATGAGACAAATAAAACTGTTTATAACATGTAGGGATGTCATGTTTTGTAAATTGTAGAAGCTGATTTTCAGATATTGAAACACCTACTTGTCAGCTGAAAAGTGGGCAGCTACAAACTAAAAATATGGGAGTAGGGTGGGCTGACAGGCATTTGGGGAAACACTTCAACTGCCTTATGAACATCCTCAGTGCGTTTGGTCCAATTTTTAGGCAGGCCTGCTAGGGGGCGAGCTCTCTGTTCACATGAAATGGGTGAGATTGTTCAAATAAGTGAAAATGAGTCCAGTGTGAATTGCGAGAGCCCAGAGTACCATTTTCAGATACCAGATTGTGATCTCTGTGCCCTGGGTGTCTTGTCATTTGCACAAGGCATTGAGCAGCTTTCAGAGGAATGCTGAAAGATGTTCAAAGTTAGGGCTCAGAAAGCTTTCAATTTTATTTCTGCCTCGTCTAGGAGCAACAAAATGTCCTACACCAACCCGTTGGAGGCCCCAGAAACTGGAATTTCTTCCCTGTTCACTTTTCCATGCCCATACTTCTGAACAACTCATTCTAGAGACCAACTAATTACTTTGTTGTTTGCAACTCACAAGTGGCACCTTAATGAGGCCTGGGTCACAGATGGCTCAGCTATTTGATGTCACATCTGGTGATGTTGAGTGGATGTTATTCAGACGTTCACATCAGGAAGTTTGGAAAAAGCTTAACTGTCTGAAAATATGAAAACTGGATATCATAACGCAAACCATGCATTCATTTTCTCACAGAATCTTGAGAGGAACTGTTAACTACGCTTCACTACTGTGTCCCCTCTCTAACACCAACCAGGAGTGGGCTGTCAAGGGGTGTTCGATTAGGTTGGTTAAAATGTGAGAACAGGCCCAAATGTGTTGTGAATATACTTACTACTGGATGGAACCCAATGGGTGTTTGTGTAACCCACACTGGAATAGTGGACTAGTGATTAATATGTTAATGAGATTCTGTTCCTAAGATTCTGGGAGCCATTTCAAATGAATGTCTGTAGGACAGGTTTTCCAGGGTTTGGAAGATTTATCTGCTAAAGAGAGATAGTAACTGTCAGATCCAGCAGGTAAATGCTTTCACAGCACAGCTGGTGGGTTTGAAAGAGCAGGAGTGTTTAATTCCAGGCTCTTCGAGTTAACCTGCTGTAATCCTTATCCCTGGAACTAGCTTCTTCATGCAATCTGATTTTTCCTTACCACAATCCAATCTGTCTTCCTACAATCTCTCCCCCTGTAACCTGTCCCCTGCAATCTCCTACCAGGTTCTATAGTACCTCCTCTATCACCGCTGCGACCTGATTTCTCCCTGTGACCTTTCTCCCATTTTCTGAATTCCCCTCCCGCTATCTCCTGCTGCAATTTAATATCATCCCTGTGACCTCTCCCCTGTAGTCCAAACTCTCCCTCCATTGTTTGATCTCTCTCATGCAATCCAAATTCTTCCCGTTATGGTCTTGACCCTGTGCGCACCTATTGTGTTCTCCCCTAAGCTGATCTCTTTCCCATGAACTCTTCCCTTCCTCATTATGATATCTCTATCTCCACACCCCCATAAATTCTTCCTCCCTCCTTGCTGCTGCATTCCAAGAAACACCGCTCCTCACTCCAACAACAAATCCCTAGATCCTTTCAATTGGCAAGGAGTGTACCCAGTGATCTCTATTTCTGTTCGCTGAACTGTTGTTCAGAAAATGGAATGAAACTATCTTTAATGAGGATAATGATTTATTGTTCTGATTTAAAAAGCATCACATTGGAAGCCACACCATTGAGAAAACTTCTCCCATTCATAAAGTTGGCCAAGACCCTCAAATCCAATTAATTATCTTAATGAGTTTCTGCTAATGGTGTCCTTCAAAGAAGTACAATATCAATGAGATAAAATTAAGCTATGTTGTTAGTTGCTGCGGAACTAAAAGTCTTTTTTAAAAAAAAATCTTGTTATTATTTCAACCTACAAAAAATAATGAGAACACTTCATAACAGCGCTTCTGAATGTGAGGAATGGGGTCCCCATGGGAACATGAACTAGAATTTTGGGGTGTGAGCTCTGAGGCAGCAAGGGCTTTCCTAGATCTTTGACCAAAATATTACCCTGTTACCCCTGCTTGAACAGTTCTCGTTGAGGGGTTACAATATTTTTCAAGCCTCAAAATGGGGTAACAGAGGGAAAATGTTAGGGAAGCACAGCTTTATAGAGATGTAACTAATAGTTTTGTATTGATTTTTAAAGTCATGTGCAGTTCTTTAAGACTGGGTTACTCACAGGATTTTGCAGTCAACACTGACCTTGCCCATCCCTGTGGCATGGATTTTACTTTCCACAAAGTTAAATTGAATCTGGTGCCAAGTCAAGGGGATCTCCAAATATCCAGCATACAGTGATATCATCAAGCAGGCTAAGCGGCCAGTTATATTGAAGAATTCTTATAGACTGCAGACCAGACAGCAAATTGCATTCCAAGGACCCAAAAAAACCTTCCACATCAGACAGATGTTCACCTGCACATCTGCTAATGTGGTCTATTGCATCCGCTGTTTCCGATGTGGCCTCCTCTACATCAGTGAGACCAAGCAGAGGCTCGGAGACTGCTTGGTAGAGCACCAGTGCTCGGTTGGCGACAAACGACAACACCATCCAGTCACGAACCACTTCAACTCCCCCTTCCACTCCCTGGACAACATGTCCATCCTCAGCCTCCTCCAGTGTCACAACGATGCCACCCGGAAACTGGAGGAGTAGCACCTCATAGTCCACCTTGGGAGCCTACAATCCAATGGTGTCAATGCGGACTTTACTAGTTTCAAAATCTCCCCACCCCCGGCCTCATCCCATGACCAACCCTCCCTCTCATTCCCACCTCCTTGACCTGTCTATCTTTTCCCACCTACCCGCTCCTCCCACCTCACTGACCAATCCCCACCACTCCATGCCTGCACTCACCTATAACCATCCCACCTACCTTCCCCAGTCCCTCTCGTCCCCGCCTTCTTGACCTGACACAACCTGTCCATCTGGTCTCCCACATATCCATTCCTCTCACCTCACTGACCAATCCCCCACACTGCCTACCTGCACTCACCTATCACCATCCACCTACCTTCCCCAGCCCCACCCCTCCTTTCTATATTTATTTCAGACCTCCCTTCCCCCTCCCCCATTTCTGAAGAAGGGTCCTGGCCTGAAACGTCAGCTTTCCTGCTCCTCTGATGCTGCCTGGCCTGCTGTGTTCCTCCAGCTCTACACCTTGTTATCTCTATTTATAGCGAATTGCATTGGTTATCTTCCATGTTTTATGAGCTTTATAAAGAGCGACGTAAAAGTTTCTAAGAAAGTTTAAATAAAAATGACATCATAACAAAGACTATGATTTTTGCATCATAATGGAATATTTTCAAAATATAACATTTGTTTTTCAGTGTTTGGGGTTAGTTCAGCAGTAGTTATGACTTAGCATATCTTAAAAAACCCAGTTACATTTCATTAGCAATGCATAACATTTTCAGGGATTTTAAACATCTGATATTACAGAGAAATGAAGCATAAACATTGATTTGATTGTTTGCTTAAGTATGAATAATTGATTTATTTTCAACATACTTTATTGCAAATGTATCACCTTTCGAATCATGAAAGTGTTGGATTCTTTTAAATGCTGTAATTCTTTATATGGAATTTAGTTACTGTTTTGTTAGTCTATTTCATCATGCTTAAAGTGGAATGCGACTTTCCTTTTGTTGCTCAGCATTTAATTTATATGGAGACAGTAGTTGTAATCTAAATATTTATAGAAGTGTGAATTTCATTCCTTCCCCACAGGAAAAGCCATATGAACCTGTTTTTTCTTTTCAATCTAAGATAATCATTGTTAGTTAATAGTTTCTAAAGAATGCTGCTTACAGAGGCTTCATAGTATACCCAGTGAAGGGGAGAAGGGAACCACGGATAGCAATTTCTTGATTTCCAGTTTGATTGTGCATGTTGGACACTGCAGCTTCACAAATGATGAACATTCATAGTATCACCATTATTACGATTGCAAAATCTGACTGATGAAACTACACCAGGTTAAACTGCAAAATCTGGCTCATGAAATCGTGCAGGTTTTAATTTTTTTTGGTTACATGCTCAAATGCACTGACCAATGGAAAATTTTATGTTTTGTTACATGTAAATGTACATACCTGGAAATGTGAGCAACAAATTAACTTTGAATAACTCCCACAGTTCTGAGCACAATTATCCTCCAATCACTGATTGAGCCCAAATCAGAATCTGCCCAAAGCATAAACAAAAACTAATTCATCTTAAAGATAAAACGGCAAATTCTAATGTTGCATCTATATCATTCCCAACACTATCTAACGATTGCTCTTTTAATTTACAGGTCGCCAAATCCTTCTCTGTTTACAAGAGTTCTGCAGATAGCTTTTGTTGTTACCAAATATGGCCTGAAGATGATCTTCTACTACAAAACAGCACAAACATTGATTTGGTTATTTTGTTAAACATGGATGATAGATTTATTTTAACAGCATTCACTGCAACTGTATAACTTTGTGAACATGAGACTGATGCTGTCTTTTTGTTGGCAAAATCCTTTGCTTTAAAGTGAATTACTGATTTATCACCTTAGTTTATAATGTTTACATGGAATATGACTTTATTCTGTTTCTTCAGAATCTAATTTGTCACTAGGGCAGTGACTGGAAAACAAAAACAGCATTGAAATATGAATTTCATTTCTTTCCTACAAGAGGATATATAAGAATCAGGCTTTTCTATTGTAACCATGATAGGTTCTACAAATATCAATGTGATGCTGTACCATGTGATAGGCAGGGAAATTCAGTGACGGACGGATATTAAAATTATTCAGTTATTTAGCAGTAAGAAATTTCAGCATCTGACATTGCAAGATGTGAAATGTAGGCTATTAAGTGGGGAAATTGATACTGTGACTTATGAATGCAATATAATTATTTTGCATGACAAAAACATATGTTGTTTTATTCAAATATGAGATGTAAGACTGTAATTATCTGTAATTTTCAATTCCAAGTGATTCTGGGTTGTGCAATATGGTTTTTTCTTACTCTGCTTTATGCTGTAATGCACCCATTTTTTGATTGCATGTAAAATGTTGCTGATCCTAAATTGAATCAAAATGAATTTTTGATTGTCCTAAATTATTTTAAACAATGAACCTTCTTTGATTATTTTGTAGGAGAATTGAAGAATCTGGATAGATGTGCTGCTTGATGGTCTTAAATCATTACTTAACTATGATAGAGAATGATTATGTATGCACATTTCTTCCTTCATGCTAAATGCAGTTACTAATCTTGGTTAAGTTGTTGAGTGGGGTGTGAGTCAGCCTTCTAAGGCTCTCTGCAAGGGGGGAATGGAAAAAAGAACAATCATCTTTATGCAGTTTTCACATCCCTCTGTATCCGTGCTTAGATGTTGGTTCACAGTAGTGGCTATATTTTGAGTTCCTTGACTAATATGGGTTTTATAATTTAGGGTATTAAACATTGTCAGCCACCCATGCTATTGTCCACCTTATTTTTTAAATTCTGTCATGAGATATGGGTATTGGTGGTGAAGGCCTGCATTTTTAGCTCATTCCTAATTGTCCTTGTGAATGTGATGGTGAGTTGCCTTCTTGAACTACTGCAGTTGACCTAGTGTAGGTACACCCACAGTGCTGTTAGGAAGCGAGTTCAAGAACTTGGTCCAGTGAAAATGAAGGATGATGATACATTTCTAAGTCAGGGTGATGTGGGCTTGAAGGGAAGCTGGCAAGTGGTGGTAATTCCTGTAACTGCTTCCTTGTCCTTCAAGTGGTAGCGGTGGTGGGTTTGGAAAGTGCTGTTAAAGGAGTGTTGTTGAGTTGCTGTAGTTCATCTTGCACATTGTTGTCACTGTGTGTCTTTGGTGGATGGAAGGAATGTTGAGTGGTGAATGAGGTGTCAATCAAATGGTCTGATTGCTCCTGGATGGTGTCAAGATTCTCAAGTGTTGGAAGTTGCACCCATCAGGCAAGTGGAGAATATTCTATCATATGCCTAGGTTGTCTCTTAAATGGTGGAGAGACTTTAGGGAGCTAGAAATCCCAGCTCTGACCTGTCAAAATGTTTACATGGCTCTTCCAATTCAGTTGCTTCTCAATGGCAACCACCAGAATAATGATAGAGGGGAATTCAGCGATGGTAATGACACAAAATGTTAAGGGGAGGTGGTTAGATTCTCATTTATTGATGTTGGCCATATGCCAGTGGTAGAGCATAAGTCTGGTAAAGAAAGTGTTTAGCATGCTTGCCTTCATTGGTCAGACTGTTGAGTATAAGAGTTGGGACATCAGATTGGGGCTGTATAGGACATTGTTGAAGCCACTTTTGGAGCACTGCGTTCAGTTCTGGTTGTCCTGCTAGAGGGAGGATGTTATTAAATTGGAAGGGGTGCAGAAAAGATTTACAAAGTCATTACCGGGACTGGAGGGTTTGAGTTATAAGGAGAGGCTGGATAGGTTGAGACATTTTTCATTGGAGCATAGGAGGCTGGGAGGTTACCTTACAGAGGTTTATAAAATCACGAGAGGCAAAAGTGAATAGTAAAGGTCTTTTGCTTCGGGTGGGGAAATTCAAAACTAGATAGCATAGTGTTAAGGTGAGAGGAGAAAGACTAAATAGGGACCTGAGGGGCAACTTTTTCACACAGAGGATGGTGCATATAAGGAATGGACTGCCAGAGGAAATGGTAGAGACAGGTACGGTTACAACATTTAAAATACATTTGGGCAGGTTCATGAATAGGAACGGTTTAGAGGGATATGGGCCAAACACAAGAAAATGGACTAGTTTAGTTTGGGAAACCTCATCGGCTTGGATGAGTTGGACTGAAGGGTCTGTTTCTATGCTGTAAGACTCTATATCTCTATGATTCTTAGTGATAGGTGGGTACATTTGCAGAGTGTGAGATATTGATGAAAAGATAGTGGTGCATATGCTAGCACAGTGGATAAAATCATTGATCAGGTGCCAAGGATGATCAATAGGATGGGTCTAGAATCAGCAAGAGTAGCACAATCAGGCAGGGTTAGTTAATGAAGCAGGCTTGATGAGATGTGGTGAGAAAGCTTGCTAGGCCTCATGGAGAGAAATCCTTCATGAAACTTGATGAGCTGACACTTAGCCAAAATTATATAAGATTCAGCAGATTGAAACCTGTCAGTTGAGGCTGGCATCAAGCAACTCACATCTGCTGTTTTATGGATTCTGTTTTGTATGATAAGCTGCATATTTTGGACACAAGAAGGTTGCCTGAAACTATCCAGCTTGGAAAGACAATGATGCCAGACTGGGGAGTACTCAAATGAACTAATGAACCATATTTTAGTCATTGGTTAGCAAAGCAGCATGCAGAGACAAAGAAAATAGATTGGTATTAGCAATGGCATGGAGTGCTCTCTCCCTGTTTACTTCTCATCAGCTTCAAAGCCAACATCGGTGTTAAAATGATAGGAGTAAGATCTATTCACTGAGAACTCAAGAATTATACACATCTCACTGGTACTGAGAATACACAACATCAACTAAGCAGTCATGGTCTCAGTTCAAGTATAACACTTCAAATACTCCGTGAACTTATAATACTGCATGATTTTAACTTCCTATTGTATTAAACCAAAAGGTTTTTGAACTTATACCTACGTTTTTGTGTATGTTGCATTTCGCTTTTCATTGTTTTTTCTCAGAGTTGATATATACTAACATTTTTCTTTGCAATTGACTCCATAATTATGACCTTATGGCATTGTTTTGATTGATGTATGATATAATTGCATGTTAAAGAGATTTCAAAATCTTCGTTGTGGCCAATGAGAGTAGTGAAAAGAGGGGAACTGATTCATCGCTCCTCACCTGCTCTTAATAAAAAAAAATCAGTGAGTTTAACAAGTAAAGTGGCTGTATTACTGAATGCAGGAACTCTTTTCTCTTAGTCATTATATTGTGGTTTCTAGCACCATTGTGTATAATTAGGACATATACTAGGTTGACCTGACAGTGTACCATTGAGGAAGTGTCATTGTTGAAAGTGCCATCTTTCAATTTAGATATTAAATGAAGATCTGTCTGTCTGACATGTCCCATTGCATGTCTTCTGGTGCTCAGCTAGAATTAATCTCTCAGCCAACATCACCAAAGACAGATCCATCACTCATTTATTTCCTCATTGGGTCTAAGTTAGCTGTGGAGTCTTTCTAACAGTAACTAAACAACAAAAAGTAATCATAGAATATGGAAGCACGTCCTGAAAACATGAACTATATAAAAGTGTTGAAGAACTATTGTAGAATGCAAACTGACTTTGGGTAGTATATGGTCTCCCAAGAATAAAATATTAGATTGATTTTTTGACTTGCTAACAAATGGTGAAACAAATATCCTGTGACTAGGAATAATGATTAAATTTATGGTTCTGCCGTAATTTGTAACATCACATTTTACAAGCATTCAGGCAGTCCTTTGGAACATTTTTGCTTTGTTGACAGGCGTGATAAACTATCAGTACCCAAATATATGGCAGCATTGCATTTTCAAATGACATTGCCCACTGCCGACGCCGCTCTGCCCACCACCCCTACAGCCAGCAGCTCTAAAGCCAACACCAGTCCCCAGCCCTGCCGGGTCTTCACCATCCCCCCAGATCTCCCCCTCATTGACGACGAACGGTCAGTCCTCAGTAAAGGACTCACCTTCATCCCCCTCCACCCGAACATCAACGAATACTGCTCCCGCCTGGACGTCGAACAGTTTTTCAGCCGCCTCCGCCTCCGCGCTTATTTTTTTAATTGCGAATCTAACCCCGCCTCTACTGACCCCTTCTCCCATCTCCAACACACCCTTTCCACCTGGACACCACCCCATGGCCTCCTACCCTCCCTCGACCTCTTCATCTCCAACTGCCGTCGTGACATCGATCGTCTCAACCTCTCCATCCCTCTCACCCATTGCAACCTCTCCCCCACAGAATGTGCAGCCCTCTGCTCCCTCTGCTCCAACCCTAACCTTACTATCAAACCCACAGATAAGGGAGGCGCAGTTGTGGTATGGTGCACTGACCTTTACATCGCCAAGGCCAGATGCCAGCTCTCCGACACCTCCTCCTACCGCCCCCTTGATCATGACCCCACCCCTGACCACCAAAACATCATCTCCCAGACCATCCATAACCTCAACACCTCAGGTGACCTCCCACCCACAGCCTCCAACCTCATCGTTCCCCAACCCTGCACTGCCCATTTCTATCTCCTTCCCAAAATCCACAAACCTGACTGTCCTGGCCGACCCATTGTCTCCGCCTGCTCCTGCCCCACCGAACTTATCTCCTCTTACCTTGACTCTGTTTTCTCCCCCCAGTCCAGGAACTCCCCACCTACGTCCGGGATACCACTTACGCCCTCCACCTCCTCCAAAACTTCTGATTCCCTGGCCCCCAACATCACATCTTCACCATGGACGTCCAATCCTGTTCACTTGCATTCCCCATGCAGATGGCCTAAAAGCCCTCTGCTCCTTCCTCTCCCGCAGGCCCGACCAGTCCCCCTCCACCGCCACCCTTAGCCGCCTAACTGAACTCGTCCTTACCCTTAACAACTTCTCCTTCAACTCCTCCCACTTCCTACAGACAAAGGGGGTGGCCATGGGAACCCGCATGGGCCCAAGCTATGCCTGCCTCTTTGTAGGATACGTGGAACAGTCCCTCTTCCATAGCTACACTGATACTATCCCCCACCTCTTCCTCCGCTACATCGGAGACTATATCGGCGCCACCTTGTGCTCCCATGATGAGCTTGAACAGTTGATCAACTTCACTAACACCTTTCACCCCAACCTTAAGTTCACCTGGACCATCTCTGATACCTCTCTCTCCTTCCTGGACATCTCTTCTCCATCTCTGGTGACCACCTCCAAACCGATATCTATTTCAAGCCCACCGACTCCCACAGCTACCTAGACTACACATCCTCTCACCCACCTTCCTGCAAGAATGCGATCCCCTACTCCCAATTCCTCTGCCTCCGCTGCATCTGCTCCCGAGATGGGGCGTTCCACTCCCAGACATCCCAGATGTCCTCGTTTTTCAAGGACTGCAAATTCCCTCCTTCAGTGGTCGAAAATGCCCTCGACCGCATCTCTTGCGTTTCCTGCACCTCAGCCCTCACACCCCCTCCCCGCAATAAAAACAAAGACAGAATTCTCCTTGTCCTCACGTATCACCCCATTAACCTCCGGATCCAACGCATCATTCTCCGCCACTTCCGCCACCTGCAATCTGACCCCTCTACGAAGGATATATTTCCCTCCCCACCCTTATCTGCCTTCTGGAAGGACCACTCTCTCTGTGACTCCCTCATCTGCTCCACACTCCCCACCAACCCCACGACTCCCAGCACCTTTCCCAGCAACTGCAGGAAGTGCTACACCTGCCCCTACACCTCCCCCTCACCTCCATAACAGGCCCCAATAAAACGTTCCACATTAAACAGATGTTCACCTGCACATCCACTAATGTGGTATATTGTATCCGCTGTTCCTGATGTGGCCTCCTCTACATCGGGGAGACCAAGCGGAGGCTTGGAGACCACTTTGTGGAACACCTACACTCGGTTCGCGACAAGTGTCTACGCCTCCCAGTAGCTCACCACTTCAACTCCCCCTCTCAGTCCTTGGATGACATGTCCATCCTGGGCCTCCTCCACAACGATGCCAGCCGAAGGTTGCAGGGACAGCACCTCATATTCTGCTTGGGAACCCTGCAGCCCAATGTGGACTTCACAAGCTTCAAAATCTCCCCTCCCCCTACCGCATCCCAAAACCAGCCCAGCTTGTCCCCGCCTCCCTAACCTGTCTTTCCTTCCACCTATCCCCTCCTCCCACCTCAAGCCCCACCCCCATCTCCTACCTACCAGCCTCATCCCGCCTCCTTGACCTGTCCGTCCTCCCTGGACAGATCTATCCCCTCCCTAACTCCCCACCTACACTCATCTTTACTGGCTCCAACCCCGCCCCTTTGACCTGTCTCCTCTCCACCTATCTGCTCCCTCATCCATCTTCTATCCGCCTCCCCCTCTCTCCCTATTTATTTCAGAAACCCCCTTCCCTTCCCTCATTTCTGATGAAGGGTCTAGGCCCGAAATGTCAGTTTTCCTGCTCCTATGATGCTGCTTGGCCTGCTGTGTTCATCCAGCTCTACACCTTGCTGTCCCAGGAGTCTCATCTGCTGGCTGGACAGTCAGCAAGGGCTCCGTGTTTTGTCTTTTAGGGTAGACCCTCTCCCAAACTAACTACCACACAGTTACATAACTGGCCAGTCACGGTCTTTCACTAGTGTCAAGGACCCTGGGAGGCAGAAATCCTGCCCATCAGATATGGGGGATAGGACAGCAAGGATATTGTTTTTGCTCGCAAAAATATACTTTACTTATGCATTAACTGTATGTACATTACAAAGCTGTTTAAGTTGGACATTACAGAAAATATAGTAAAAATAATTAAACTTTTCATTTGAACAATGCGCTTTTAAGTGCCTCCAACCAAATACAAAACTGGCACATTTACCAAGCATGACCCAAAACTATTTACATTCTAATACAATTTACAAGGACTTAGCATCAAGGACATGTATTGGTTGCTGGCAGAACTGCATCAAAAGGCCAAGGATCAGCACCGAATTTCAGGCCAACAGCTGAGTGAAGTTGGGAGATGGTTTATTGGAGGGGTTGCTGGCTAACAAAAGAGAAGTTGGTAGACATGGTCAAGGTTAGAGACTCAGCAGACACCCCCTAGATGACAAGGTGCAGAGCTGGATGAACACAGCAGGCCAAGCAGCATCATAGGAGCAGTAC